GTTATACAGAGTGTAAAATGCTTTTTTTTCTCACAGCATGTTGGTGATCTGGGAAATATTGTGGCTGGACCAGATGGTAGAGCTTCGTTCAGATTAGAGGACAATCAGGTTAAGGTAATATGAGAACACTCACACACACACCTAAGTTTGCCTTACACTAAACCTAACCCCACCGGTTCATTGCTAACCCTAACCTAAACTTAATTCAATACTACTGGTCTTGACAAGTTAGGTGTGTATACCAGAAATGGTCCTAAAAAGGTAACAAATACAAGCACCGACATGTTTGGTCCTGATGGAGCGAAACAGCACACCTTTGTTCTGCAGGTATGGGACGTTATTGGTCGATCTCTTGTAGTTGATGCAGGGGAGGACGACCTCGGTCGGGGCGGTCACCMTTTGTCTAAACAGACGGGAAACTCTGGTGAAAGGTGCGTACAATATACTTTACAAAGTGTAATAAAAATAGATTTCCTGGTTTTATACAAACTCTTTTTTCTTGTTCAGTAGAGTACAGTTTCAGTCATTTTTCTTCACCTCTGCTCTGCAGGTTAGCCTGCGGGATCATCGCCAGATCAGCGGGTCTTTTCCAAAACCCCAAGAAGATCTGCGCTTGCGACGGGGTCACACTCTGGGAGGAGAGAGACCGGCCGGYAGCCGGGAGGGGCCGGAGAAAAGCTGACCCGGAGACGCCGGCAGCACACCTCTGATTGTTAGTCGCTGAGGAGCACTTGGTGAGGTGGTCCTGTAGAGAGACGTACACCGAGGAGGGGGCGGAGCTAAAGAAAAGAGACGGGAGCACTGAGGTTTCCAGATGGAATCGTATGATGCACAAACAGTTTTGTACTCAGTTTTTTTTTTTAACCAAAGCAGGCTGCAGTTTTTATTTTATTTAAAAACTAATAAGTATCCAAATTCTAATAAGCTCCAGGGGGACGACAACGTTTAAAGTTTGTGCCTTACTATTAGACTGACACTTCTGTCCACTTTAGGTTTTATTGAGTCGGTAGAGATGTTGTCCAGGTTGAGGACAAATCACTATACAAATTGTTTTGTATTGTGACCGAATCTTATGCCATGATTTATGAATTATTTCACATAAAATACAGAAAAATAACTTTTTWAACTAATACTAATAACTAATTTCAACTAGCAGCGTAGCACATATGCACTTAAGTTAATCTGGAGAATTTTGTTTTGAWCTTTATAAAAGTATCCAAATTTGAGACACAATTAAGTAGATTGAGCTCTATTTTTTCCCCACATATTTGTTTACTTAAAAGCCATAAAGCAACTTGAATAAAAGATTTAAATGGAGATAAGCTGTTTGGGTTTATCAGGAACAATATATATGTAGATATATTTGACACATTCCTTTTTTATTTAATGAATGTATTACAAGAAGTACCTCCTGGTCGTCAGTACATCTTTCTTCTTGATGAAAACATCAATATTAGGATGTGATTGTGTGGGCTGGGGTGGCTGGATCAGAGTGGCTTTCACTCTCTTTACATTGATTTGTTTAAATTTGAGCGTTTGTCTTGTTCTGTTGATGCCTTAATAAGGTTATTGAATTTCCATCAAATTATTTAATCATTGTCTTATTTCATTTCTGTGCCTGGGCTGAGTGTAACTCTGTCACTGCACATGGTAGACCTCATTATTGGTTGATAAGTAGATTCTTTGTGGCAGATAATAATAATAATAATAATAATAATAATAATAGTTCTAATAATAATAATAATAATAATAGTTCTCAGTGGTTGACTATGACTCTAAATTTGTAACTTTTTTGTGTGTATATGTTTGCAGAGTAAGTTACTTAATGGGAGGATTACTTACGGGCCAGTGAACAGATATTTTGAGTAACTGGTTCAAAGTTATGAAAAACAAATGGAAAACAGGAAAAACAATGGCCAGAATAAAATAAAACAGATAAAAAAAAACTTGTAATAAAATAAATATTGAAATTCATCATTCAGTGTAACCATGTTGAGTCTTTAGTGGAATTTGCTTTTAGTACATTCTTCTGGATATGTATGAAAAACAACTGTTTATTTTCTCAAATTCTTAAAAAATAAATTATTTGATCAAGAAAACTGTCATATACATTTTACTGTATAAAGGAGATGGACATTATCACCATGATGTCACTCTTGTGCTCCTTTAAAGGCAAAGTTCAGATCTTATACGGTGGTGAAAATTATGAGGAGTTATTGTCTTACCTGCTGCAGATAGTTTTTTGAACGTCTCAGTTGGGAGAAAAATATTTCTGCTGGAACGACTGCTGTATGAAACTGATGGAGATGTAAAGATTTAAAAACTAGTTATTGCATGAACTACTAAGATAATGATAGTTGCAGTAGTGGGCACAGCTAACCTAAAGGTTAGCTTTACTAGCTTAGCTTCTCGCTAAGTGTAAAAATATAAGATTAACGGAAGCTAGCGCTAAGAAAGTAACCATTAGCAGAAGCTACCACTAAACGCTAAAACAGATGTCACTCAGTTTGCATCCCACATTTTTGTCTGCGATCTGAAGACTGGTGGGACTGACTAACCTGTTGATGACATCACAACATGCGAGGTTTTGTGCACCTCCCCACACTACTTGTTACATCATTCCTGGCTCCCTTGAATAGTTGTTTTGTACTTTTGTAACTGTCTTTTATTAACATTAAAGTTTTTTACAAAAAAAAGTAATGTTAGCGGACTTTTGGCAAAATTTAGCAGAAGTTTATTGGTCCGCTAAGTTTTCAAAGTTAGTGAGAAAGCTAATCTGCGAAATTAAAAATTTGTTCCGCTGTTAGCTGATTAGCGGAACCATACCCATGTAGAGTAGAGTTGTTTTAAAACAGCACAAATGCACTTTGGTCTTTGCCCCTTTCAAACTCACCATTAGCTCATTGGTCCAGTCAGAATCGTAGACATTATACCACAGAAAACTGTCCGTGCGTTCTCATTGTTGGGAGCAGAAACTAAGGTCAAAATATTTGTTTACATGGAGGGAGCGAGACTTAAAATGGATATATTTAAATCTTTCAATTGGGGTCTGGATGAAGTAGAACTGCAATGCTTTGGTCTGAATTCCTTGTTATTGTAGCTCCACAAGCCCCTTTTCACCCTTTTCTATGGTGTGTCTCATATCAGCTCGTTTTGGTGCTGTCTCTTTAAATGCAAATGAGGCAGACTTCAGCCCCGCCCCCTTCCAGGTCTAACTCCCAATGATCATTGTCCACCACATTTGGTCATTTTTTGCAGTTTGATAGCAGAGATTCAATTTTGTAACGGAGCATAAAGTTTTTATTTACAAATTAATAAAAAGACGTCAACAACTGAGGACTTGTCCATCCAGCCTTATATGTTGGAGCCAGAGGAGAATGAAGACAACGAACCTGCAGAACCAAGGATTTGTGAAATTGGTAAGTGGGAAGTCCATGAACTTGTTTAGCAGTTTCACTGACAAGACTGTGATGTAATTGGTACATTATAGGGTAGAGAAAACTGAACGGACTGGAAAAATATGACCCAAATAGAATATAAAGGTATTTTACACAGCACCAAGTGAGGCTAAATTCAACTTTTCTGCACTCCTAGAGACTCCAAGTACRCAACAAAATGTATTTAATGGCTAAAGAAGTGGATTTTGCCTAATGTACCCCATTAAAACTACTAGAATCAGCCTGTGGAGACACTATTTACATTCTGACTTCAACTTCCAGGTTCTGGTCAAATTTCTATGTTTTATTTTCCCCAAACTGACGTCATTTAGAGCAGTGGTTCTCAAAGTTGGGGTCCAGACCCTTTTGTGGGTCACAAAACATCAAGTGAGGGTCCCCAGATGATATCCAGACATCAATTTAAATGCAAATAAATTGCTAATGGAATATTTTTACCACGATTGTTGCATTTTTTTAAATAATAAATGGATAACTTTAGTATTGTAGCTCTTAGGTTTGTTCACATTGTTATTCCCATGTTTAACAGAGTTTTTTTTAGCAATGTTTGCGTACATAAAAAATATCTGGGGTCACAAGTTTCTGCAAATGTTATTTTGGGGTCTGAAAGCAAAAAAAGGTTTGAAAACCACTGGTTGAGAGTCATCTACAGCAAGTAAGATGTTAATTGTTCGTAACTTTTCAATAGAACCCCACTTCAACAGATCTGACTCGTGGCTTGGCCAAATGTGAGTTTGACAAAGCGTAATGAATTGTTTAGTTTATAGATGCACTTCCTGTATTAACAACAGTAAACAGATGCTATGAAACACACTTTGAGTCTTTATTTGAACTTTACAAGCTGAGGTGAAGAAAACTAGTGAACTGGGAAAAATAACACAGAACATGGCCGTGTTTGGGTCTAACCATCAAAATGAGCTTTATCAAGAGAATTTGTGTGTTAATTTTTTTCACTTGTTGTGAGGCAGCATGCCTCAGCTTTAAGGCAGTAGATGGAGCAGAAACTTGTCAGGTGTTCAGTGATTTCCTGAGGATTGAGCAGCATCTTCCTCCTCCAGCAGCAGCAGCACTCCTCCTCCT